GAGTTGGGTACCCGGGTAGGGTCGGATAATAGGGGGTTGGGTACCCACATGGTAAATGTGGACTCGTCCCAGACCTAATTTGTACTGTTCAAATGGTACTTTTTCTTTCAATAATCCAGACTTCAGATTGCAAGATGGGTAGTGTGGATAAACAAGACTACCTGTTACATCATCAATATGGAATGTTAATGTAAACAGCGTGAAGCTTGTGCTGTTTACATGGTTAAGATAGGAACCCAGTCCATTCAAATGCCTCAAGACAGTAGATTTAATTCATACAATTATATATTGATTCTTCTGTGACTGTATCAGTAAATATCAATATGCAAGGGTTGTATTGCGATATGTGTATAGCTGACAGCAGTATTGCAATATACCGGGATACCAGTTATATTGCACCCTAGTTGTCTACAGTATTCAAGCAAAGTAAGTGTCATTTTTATGTTAGGAATCACCATTGATCACAATGCAACAAATAGAACCTAAAACATCAGGGTTCGAGTGAGTGAGTGAGTGAGTATGGTTTTACGCCGCTTTTAGCAATATTCCAGCAATATCACAGCGGGGGACACCAGAAATGGGCTTCACACATTGTACCCATGTCGGGAATCGAACCCGGGTCTTCTGCGTGACGAGCGAACGCTTTAACCACTAGGCTACCCGACCGCCCCCATCAGGGGTCGATTTAAGGAACTTGATTCAACTTACACCAGGTGTATGTTGACATGAAAACTAAGTTGCATCAAACAAAACCAGGTTGCACCCTGGTCCCATAAATTGATCAAAAGTTGAAAAATAGGCTGGTCTGCTGCCAGTGTCACATAAATTAAAGATGCATTGCTGTAACCTAAAATGCAACATGTACACATCATCTTGAAGTACCGACAGCTTGATTGACATCGAACCGAAGAAAGCAGGAGAAATACACATAACACTGGGCTTAGTGATATAGTTTGGTAAACATAAGGGACTGAGTGTGCTCAAACATTGATGTGTGGACAAGTATGGGCTAACCAGACACAAATAAAAAAATCTTTAACATGCACTTCGTGCATATTGAGTGAGTGAGTGAATGAGTTGGGTTTAATATGTTTAACACCGCTTTTAACAGTATTCCAGTTATATCACGGCGTGTCAGCTTAATGTGGGGGGAAAGCCCCAAGTGATGCAGGTCTCAGATGTTTACCACTTCGTGCACCCTCGTGCATATTGACAAATATTGGGTTGCATCTTTCAATAATTGGTTGCATTTGTGCATGTTTTATATAGCTACATCGACCCGAGTTACATGTTTGACATAATTTGGAAAGGAACATATCATTTCTTCTTCTTTCATGTTCATCATTAACTGGGTCTAAAAGGACACTAAATACCAAGTCATATACACATACAAAAAGTGATAGGCCCAAATAATGTACATATGAGTCTTTGTCATACAAACAAGCATGGCTATTTGAATCATTGAAACTAATAAAAATGTAGAATGAATGTTCCATATAAAGAACATTTCTGTTCTGATAAAATACACACTCAAAATGCAAAGTCAGTGGTTGATTTTCTGTAATCAAACATTTAAAGCCCCAACAATCATGACTACAATAGGCAAAACACTACTGAGCATGTGTGATGATATTACAATTCGCTACCCTAGGACAACCATGTTCATGGCTAGTATCCCCCAAAATTATCACTGAAGGTCCACTGGACTCGAAAATATATCCTGACAGACACCCAGGGAAATTTCTGAATAACCACAAACTGCCAGGTGTTGACAGTCAAAATCCGGATTTGCCCTGACTGTTTCTGGGTTTGCCCTGACTGTTTCTAAGTTTGCCCTGACTGTTCCTAAATTTGCCCTGACTGTTTCTGGGTTTGCCCTGACTGTTTCTTGGTTTGCCCTGACTGTTTCTAAGTTTGCCCTGACTGTTTCTGGGTCTGCCCTGGCTGTTTCTAAGTTTGCCCTGACTGTTTCTAAGTATGCCCTGACTGTTTCTAAATTTGCCCTGACTGTTTCTAAATTTGCCCTGACTGTTTCTGGGTTTGCCCTGACTGTTTCTAAGTTTGCCCTGACTGTTTCTAAATTTTCCCTGACTGTTCCTAAATTTGCCCTGACTGTTTCTGGGTTTGCCCTGACTGTTTCTGGGTTTGCCCTGACTGTTTCTAGGTTTGACCTGACTGTTTCTAAGTTTGCCCTGAATGTTTCTGGGTTTGCCCTGACTGTTCCTGGGTTTGCCCTGACTGTTTCTAGGTTTGCCCTGACTGTTTCTGGGTTTGCCCTGACTGTTTCTAAGTTTGCCCTGACTGTTTCTAAGTTTGCCCTGACTGTTCCTAAATTTGCCCTGACTGTTTCTGGGTTTGCCCTGAATGTTTCTGGGTTTGCCCTGACTGTTTCTAGGTTTGACCTGACTGTTTCTAAGTTTGCCCTGAATGTTTCTGGGTTTGCCCTGACTGTTTCTGGGTTTGCCCTGAATGTTTCTAAGTTTGCCCTGACTGTTCCTAAATTTGCCCTGACTGTTTCTTGGTTTGCCCTGACTGTTTCTGGGTTTGCCCTGACTGTTTTCTAAGTTTGCCCTGACTGTTCCTAAATTTGCCCTGACTGTTTCTGGGTTTGCCCTGACTGTTTCTGGGTTTGCCCTGACTGTTTCTGGGTTTGCCCTGACTGTTTCTAGGTTTGCCCTGACTGTTTCTAAGTTTGCCCTGAATGTTTCTAGGTTTGCCCTGACTGTTTCTAAGTTTGCCCAGACTGTTTCTGGGTTTGCCCAGACTGTTTCTAGGTTTGCCCTGACTGTTTCTAGGTTTACCCTGACTGTTTTTAGGTGTAAGCACAATCTCCATCAATTCATCTTCCTGAGGCAAGGGAGTTAACTATCTATAAAAGTCCTATTTCACTCCAAATAAGGCTTGAATTATGGAGGCTATGTTTTGGCTGGACTAACAAGTCTTTGCATAGCCCAATCAAACTAGCGTAAACAACATTGTGACTGACATGCAGATTTCAGCTTATTGCAAGATTAGAAGAGCATATGTATCGTCAACTGGGTGACAACACATGTTTCCAAATCTTTTTGTCTGGACTGGGCTGCCATTTTGTTCGAAGCAAATACAAGTGACATGAGAGATGGAATCTGATTTGTCAATAGGAGGGACACAGAAGGGACATAACTCTTAATCGCCACTGATGACACGTAGTTTGGCAACGGTGGAAAAAGATGTATGCTTGCTTGTTTGTTGTTTAAATATTCCGGCTATATGTCTGTAAATAATCTAGTCTGGACCAGACAATCCAGTGATTGACATAACGAGCATCGATCCATGCAATTGGGATACGATGATATGCATCAAACCAAATCAGCAAGCCTGACCACCCGATCTCGTTAGTCATCTCTTACGACAAGCACCGTTGTGTCGTCACTAGCCATGCTCATGCTATTATCCCAATTATTATCCACATCATCCGGACAGTGTTCCCTACCACACTTTTCTGTCAAAAAATCCACCTGACGAATTATTAAATACCATGTCATTCATGCGTACTTGTAAGTTCGACGTCTGACACCTGGAGCCGTTTTCAGATTGCACCATATCGGATCATTCCTCGCCACTCGGTATCTTGTAGATTACGGAATGGGACGCATGTGCCAAGACACCATGCCTACCCGTACCCTTCGTAAGTGTCCGTCACCTAATCGACCCTTTTCATTCAGTTACGTAACGTCGTAGGCATGACTAGGTAAATTTGCTCTTTGTTTCACAGTGTGGACGTAGCTCAGTCGGTTAGCTGTCGGGCTAGCAATCCGAAGGTCGCGAGTTCGTGTCCGACAGATTCTCACAAAAACTGGTTGCTTGTCTTTGAGACATGTGACCTACGGCAGAGACCGTCCTCACGAGAAGTTGTGGTACTGTATTCTAAAGGTGCTCCGATTATTGTTATTTTTTTTACCTCACAATTGAATTCTCTGGAAGATTTTTTGATTCTCATAATGAAATTTTAGTTCAGTGAATCAGTATTTATTAATATATTGTATTTCTGTCTTTGATATTTTGCAGATAGCGATATCAGGTCGCCAGTTTGATTTTTCTAACTGACTCCTTAAATAATATTGGTCGCCAAGTGGAAATTTCAACAAGGCAACCAAATTACCGGTAGTTCAACTACTAGTTGCTACTTTGAGGGCTGCTAATAATGCCGCCATGCATCAACTAATCATCCCAATTTTGTTGAATAGACTTGTTAACTTCATTTGTTGTGGGTGGCATGAACTTCAGTTGTGGTAAGTGGGGTATAGGCTAACCAAAGGGGACACAAGCCTTTGCAGCGCACATAAAGAACAATGTGCCCATCCACTGGCCTAGCTCATTTTGCTTGCCTTTACGTTTTATCACTTGCACTTATGATCTGACATGCAACATGATATTCTCCAAATATTCGATAAAATTATTAAATTTGATATCCGAATGTTTTCTCGACATTGAGATAGGCCTAACAAACACAGGAATTTGTTATTGGTCAGTAAATAAAAAGATATACCCTCTACATAAGTTCTCTAATTTTTTATAGGGGGGGATATTTTATTTACTTGCCAAAAACAAGTTCCTGCGATAATATAATATACTTATCAATGTGAAACGAAACTCCAATTGACCATATTGACGAATACCTAGGCCCTATCATTCAGTGTGTATCTTTATGAATCAACCGGTAGATCTAGATCTACATTCGCATTAATAATTCTAGAAATAAAGGTAAATGTTGACCTAATGGATCTAATGCTTATCAAGTTATTGATAGTCTAACATGTCGATGGCCTCTTTCAGAAGATAAATATATTAGAGAAGTCTCTATTTTATGTTATAGTTATTAGCCCACTCCAATGTCGGACCTCAGTACTTTGTCACATTTTCAACAGCTATTATACAATAAGAACATATCCCATCTCTCAGATATGAAACAAAAAAATTCTAATAATATACAACATATGCTGTGATGCAAATATACCCACTGGTTGACAAGCTCAGGTTTCCGAACGTTATCAACATCAATCACGAACACTTCGGGATTTTGATTTTTGCGCCATTGCAGAGAAGGGAGGTAATTTCAAAACAATCCAAAGTACGAATCGGAATTCCTCGCGAAACGCACCCGCTTATCGACGCTGGTAGATACAGTCTTGAGTAAGTACGTTTTCTTGTTCATATCGCACTAACATTTTTTTTTAAACTTCACTCAGAACTTACCATGTATATAAGATGTGTTTGAAGGAACCATCTATACGCATGCACTGTGTATGTGAATTATTGCGTGTGTTTTTTTATCCAGTAAGCTGCAAATTAAAAGCTAGATATATTTAGGATCACTTCAACTGAACGACGGATTCCGCTAATATTTTGTATGAACGAAAACATGACATTGTTTTGTGAAAGGTACTTTTATACATTTTGTATACAATTTAGCTTTCTCTGTAATGTCATAACCTACACGAGAAGATGCTTACACAAATCCACGTAGATCTTGATATTCCTAGATTCAGAATGAGAGTAACCATACAGAAGTTTGATTAACTTCATATCAAAATGTCACGCATATATTGCCTATTTTTAATCAATATTTTTATTCACTGTGATTTCAAAAATATTAAAACATGCTTCTAGTATATGCTATTATCTTATTTTAATCTCATTGATAAAAAAATGGGAACTTTTAAATCCCTCCTATGCAAGGGAACACGTGGCTCGACTAATTCACGACCTTGCTATTCCAAACTGAACATGTTTGGATTGTGTTGTAGCCTGAATAGTGATGTTTCATCGTTATGTGATGAAGGCTGTATATATACACCCCTTGTTTAGAAAGACCCTGTTTGGACTACGCTTTGGCTTTCGTTTGAAACACCACAAATTGCCATTTATTTGACGTTAAATATCGAAATGTTGACCAACGGATTTTAAAAAAAAATCTTGTTCAGCTTTACGTGTAAATGTCAGCACGTCCAACATACACGATGTATTTTAGATGTTTGTATCAGAACGACGCCTCGTATATTTTACAGCTTCTTAGTTGGGTGATAACAGAATGCACGTGGATATCAATGCTAATAAAGCTCGTATCGAAAGGAAAAGGCCAAACAACCAGTATACATACAACACGAGGTAAAAATGTTTCACGTAGTAAAATCGACCCCAACATGTGACATTTTGTATCATTTCGAAGTAACATTAAGCACTATACAGTTTTATACACATATCGAACCAAATTTAGCGTGAGTGTTTTTCAGTGTCAAATAAACATTTGAAACGTTGTTTTGCTATTGATAGAAATACACATATTATCATTTAATTACCCATGTTTGAACCTTTCTACAGACGACCTTTCAAAGATTTTAGGTAAGGTTTCTGTTACCGAACTTGTAGTTATATGTTGTAATTCGACGTCTATATTTTCATGTTATTTCAGTGTATTTCTTGTAATATTTTTCAAAATATTATTTCTAGCCCATCATATTTTAATTTTATCCCAGTATTCATGTTGTTATTTGTATATTAATTCATATGTGCCCTTCTCTACCCCAAAACATTTGAATCTGGCCTTTTGTGAAGAAAATATGTCACTTGTCAGCACTGATTTCATGAAGCGTATTGGGCGCTGGAACTCAATCTCTACCTCAAAATATTCCAGTTTTATTTCTCCTTGGAACGAGTTCATTGGGGCAATAGATTGATCGCCCGCTTTAACACTGTAATTAAGACACTCCGCCATAATGACGTCAACACTGGCCACCGAACGACATCAAGCATCAGCGAATTATCTCGGCTGGAAGTATCAGTGGTTTTGCAAAATAAAGAAAATCAATTCGCCAGCAACAAACACAAACTATATACCAATGAGCTTGAATGAATTATTTTAATATTAAAGTGTTTATTACATATGACCATATTTATATAACTTGGAGTTGGCAAAGATAGAGCGAAGTCTCGCACCTCCCACAAAGTAATTAAAGTATACACTGTGTTGAATATCGATTTAACCATATGTCTGGGGAGGTAAATTTATATACTCCCTTTCTAGATCAAATATTTTAACCTGCTGAAGTCATTTTACTTATTGTGGTGAATTTGAATTATTTTGGCCCCCTTATATTTGATTTCCGCCCACCATATGGAGAAGCAAGTTTAAAATAACCCGTGTTAATTGTAATTGTCCACATTAACGAGATTCGGATTAAGGAGGATTTGCTGTGTATGCGGTATATAATAAACTGATCTATTCACTTTGATTTGTTCAACCCCGATGAAAACAAAATGACTGACACTATATTTAGACACGGTGAACAAAACTGTCCATTGATAGCTTTATCAACAAATGAATTCGAACATGCGCTTCATGCTGAATTTCATATCGTCATGTCCGTTCACATTTACTGCGATGAAAGCACGAATCGTAATTCTGTTAGAGTTAATAATATATGATATGCGAACCAAATCATCATTCAATGATAAACTAATGTCAGCGACTGATGCTGAAAGAACAGTAAGATTAATCTAATTCTTTCATAAGTATAACCGAAATATAACACGTGTCGTGTTTCTTGTTACGTAATCACGACTTTCCAATAAAGAGCTAGCATGTCTCTGTGACCTGACCCAGTAATCAAGACATTGAACCATGCAGGATAGTTGGGTCATCGTGACCCAAGTCTGCAAAGCCCATCGACATCTATGTTGCGACACGGAAAAGAAACGAAATAGGGTTTCATTAATGTTATTCGACGGAATAACCTTACAATTTTCACAGTCCTTTCCAGAAGAGATAGATTTATAATGCTATTACATTTACAATCACCAATGTTACATCCAATACGACAGAAAGAAAGAATAATGAATTTGCACGTAACTTTTCATGCTGAATAGAAATCATTTCCAAATAAGGAAATTTCACATGCCACTCAAAAAACGGGCGTCTTTTAGCAAAGTATAGTTGTCAGTCATGATGTAATTATTCATATTGTTGATGCACATACCTGACAGTTTATTGTGGCAATACATACCTTGGCCTATAAATGTCGCTTAATTGTATAAATTATTCAATTCATACTGGAATGATAATCTCTCTCTCTCTCTCTCTCTCTCTCTCTCTCTCTCTCTCTCTCTCTCTCTCTCTCTCTCTCTCTTCCCGACTTGAGAAGATAACACATGTTCAGACAGAAGACACTTAAATTATCGTATCAGTGAGGTTAAGCTGGACATAGAGTTGACGTTGCCCTGGAGTTCACCTGGACATAGAGTTGACGATGCCCTGGAGTTCATCTGGACATAGGATTGACGTTGCCCTGTAGTTCATCTGGCCATAGGATTGACGATGCCCTGGAGTTCATCTGGACATAGGATTGACGATGCCCTGGAGTTCATCTGGACATAGGATTGACGTTGCCCTGGAGTTCACCTGGACATAGGAGTGACGTTGCCCTGGAGTTCACCTGGACATAGGATTGACGTTGCCCTGGAGTTCACCTGGACATAGGAGTGACGATACCCTGGAGTTCACCTGGACATAGAAGTGACGATGCCCTGGAGTTCACCTGGACATAGGATTGACGAGGCCCTGGAGTTCACCTGGACATAGAGTTGACGATGCCCTGGAGTTCACCTGGACATAGGAGTGACGTTGCCCAGGAGTTCACCTGGCCATAGGATTGACGTTGCCCTGGAGTTCACCTGGACACAGGATTGACGATGCCCTGGAGTTCACCTGGACATAGGAGTGACGATGCCCTGGAGTTCACCTGGACATAGGAGTGACGTTGCCCAGGAGTTCACCTGGCCATAGGATTGACGTTGCCCTGGAGTTCACCTGGACACAGGATTGACGTTGCCCTGGAGTTCACCTGGACATAGAGTTGACGATGCCCTGGAGTTCACCTGGACATAGGAGTGACGAGGCCCTGGAGTTCACCTGGACATAGGAGTGACGAGGCCCTGGAGTTCACCTGGTGGGTCGTAAAAAAAGGACAACGGAAGAGGGGGTCGCTAATATTGAACACCTGTATTTCGGTGTAAATTTGAACATTATCTAGGGACTGGTCATTTATTATAGGGAGAAGGGGTCTTGGAAAATGTAAAAAAGTGTTACATGATATGATATGTTGTACTAAGACCAATATTCACCCATCAATAGTGTCTTGTAACCACAGACATCCAGTGTTATTGAATCCACACATGCTCCCAGAGTTCAGAGTAAAAACATTCATATGACCACAAAGAAACTATTGTTGGAAAAACCATTTTCACCAATTCCTCCAATCCAATTAAAAACAGATCTTAGTTCTCGCTACCGCTAAACAAAGATCCGAGGACATGCTATTACGATTTACGCCAGAACGACATTTCGTCCAACCAATCAAAGCATCGCTTACCAGAGGTTACCAAGGTTGACACGAGGTATTCCGAACGACAGTTACGGACTCGACTGATTCCGTCAAACCATCGTCTATCTCTCGCTTCAATGAGATAAACATTTGACCTTTCATAGCCGGTGGGAAGTTTTGCCATACAATCTCGGTCATCTATTAGACATTCCAGAATTTTCTTTTGTTCAGTTTTCAAATTTTGAATTGAGAACATTGCCAAAACAAATTTTAAAGCGTAGTTTGAAACCAGTGTCGTAAAGCTAGAGAACTGCTTGCTGATTGGCTAATGTCGACTTCTTGTTAGTCATTTCATTGGTCGGTCAAAGTTCGCGAAAGGTCCTTTTGCGTGACCTGTAATGGGATGTCCTGACAGATCTACGTGTAGCAGTAGCGAGCACCAGCGAACACTTAGATCTGATTTTAAGGAGATTGCCAATTCCTTAGACTAACGTATATATACCATATTTATAATGCCCAACATAGGGCTGAGTGCGGCGTTAAACAACAAACCAATACCGACGTCTTGACCAATTCTGACAATGGGTAGCAGACGATGGACATCCACAAGACAGTTGGAGGAGGGGAACATCAACGAGGCAAGAGCATCTATGGGTCCAGGGTAGATATCCCACAAGACTGGCAAGATAATGCCCTTGATAATCGAGGATGAGACACAACATTA